TGTTTGTTTGTGAATGGACTCTCAGACTCTCAGCAACAGGTGTGATTTCGCTTTGGAAGTTGATGAATGAGCCTGTGTTGTGGGAATGAGAGAAGATTTGATGTGAGGCTTCATCCCAGTGCTCGATACTGCCATGTGGACCGTAGGGTGTGACTCTCAATGCCCCGAAACTCCTGATGTGAGATAGGATGCGAACGATAAGGTGATGGGCTGGGGCTCATCTACCACGCACAAGGCCAAGATTGCAGCGGGCACCTATGCGGATACAATAGGCAGCTGTCTTGGGTGCTTGGGTGACTGCCTGTGACTTTCCAAAACCTGCGCAAGGGCTTCAATTGCAGGTCATTTCCCGGAGGCAGAGCTTGCTGCGCAAATGCGCACGCCGTCATCTCCCTAGGTCATGTGTGCTTGCCGGCAGAAGGAGAGTACGGCTTGAATCCATTGGTTTAGATGCATTGAATGCAACTCGCAAGGCCACCCCTTCCCAAAGATGGAGAGGTTGCTTTACAAGGCTTGGCTTGCACAGCTCTGAGCGAATTGCCTGGCGTCGTTTGGCGTCAGAGTCCAACATCGCAGATGTTGGTTAAGTTTGCTCAGTGGAGTGATGAACTAGGCTTGTGCAGTGGTGATAATCTTCAAACTGACGCATGATCATGCTGCCTTTGTTGCCCAGCGCAAGATACATGCGTCGCAACAAAAAGCTTGGTTGAGTTCATCAGATGCCCTTTGGCTCCGATATTTTTGCTAGCGTGTATGTTAAAGGGCAGCGCTGCGAAGGTGTGCTGTTGTTTGTCCTTGGTATGTGATGTTGCTTGGTAGGCTAGGCACGGCAGCCACAACAGCAGTTTCCCGTAGAACAGACTATTAATATTTTCAGCTTGGTGCGCTTGACGACAGACATGCGCACATTTATAGGGGTATGTACGGTATGTAACAGAGGCGCGGCGGACATTCGTTACATACTCCGATGCAGACCCTTGGGAACAAGACCCGCTGACTCGTTGCATACCCCCTCGTTACATAAAATCTTTATATACCTCACATTGGCAACACCGCCCTGAGCTCTGCCATGCCCTGGCTGGTTGCATGGTCCCTCTTGCATACCCTGATACATAACAGACTGTGAGTGATTTCCCGTTGTGCTCGCGGAGCATGCTTTTGCAGAGCATGCTTTCACTGGGCGTACCTATGCAGAGCCAGCTTGCAGAGAGCTTGCCCTCAAGAAGAGGTAGCGGGGAGGCTTGTTACATACCTCGTTACCTCGTTACAAAGCCAGCCCCAGCCAGGGTGCAGCTGCCCCTTTCTCGCCGTTCTGCCACCGCTTGGCTTGTGCCGAACAGTCATAACTTCCGAGGTGGAGGTATGGAGGGGCGCTTCGCGCAGAACACTTGTGCTGAGAAGTGGCGACTTTCGAGCTGCAGTCACGGAAGCGTCAAGCCCTGTTTTCGCACCTTGAAACAAGGGCCCTCGTGACATGCCTTCGAAACGAGATTCGTGCGGCGTCCCGTGTTGCATACCTTCAAAATTGTCGAGTCGTAGCCATAATGTGTCACGCGTGGAACGCAGCGCCTGATGAATGTTGACGGTTGACGTTGGCCAGACAAAGGTTCAGACTAAAATGGTGTTATGCCTGCGTGCTGAAGCGGCAATGTTATTATTGAATTGGCACCATGCTTGCATTCTGCGTTCTGCCGGGCAGGTTGCTTGTTGGCCGCCATAGGCGATGACAACAAGGACGCTCGAGAAGTGTTATTTGATTGGCGGTGTGGACTGAAACAAGATTGGCAGTTGCCATGTGAAGCTGAGATGATAGCTAAGCATGCATGGCGCAGTCTCAGTCATTTCCAATTCAGATATTTCATGAGGCAACATGCTCGGATCAACATGATGTCACCAAGCTTTGCTCGAAAGATCGTTGCTAGCATGTTGGCAAAAGGAACATGATAAATGTGACATGTGCCTATGGAGAAGAGGCAGTCACAAAGTCTGATCGCTAGCATCCAGCCCTGGTGCCAATGTCGTCCGGAGAGGTGGAGCTCGAGGCGTCGCTTTTGGAACCTGTTTTCAAATACTGGAACCATTTGGAACCCCTGAATTTGTGAATTTGGGTGCCAAGTGCTCACGAGGGCCAATGAAAGTACAATCAAGATAATCAACTCCAAAACGCATGACACTTAGTGCACGAAGGAGTTGATAATGCAGAGTCCGATTTGAAAGCGCAGTTGGGCAGACGGTTCGAACAGCTTTATATAGGGGTGCTGCTCGGAAGCTGCTGAGGTGCCCCCGCAGACAGTTGGCTACAGTCATGAGGGAGGTGGGCAACACTCTATGCAGCAGTTGGCAAACTTGCAATAAGCAGGTGGCATGAGGCGCAGAACGCCTGTTCCGACAGAGCAGCCTGTCCTAGCCTCAGCTGCCTCGACTTCCGGTTGCATTCCAAACTCACGCCACAACTGTAGATCGGCATTGTTGAAGTGAGACTCATACTGAGATCGACGAAGACACTGGCTACCCTCGCGTGTTGCAGGAGGCCTTGAACGCTGTGTGAGCGGTGTCATTTTGCACAGGCTCGTACAGGAATGGTGTTCAGGCATTACATTGAAAGCAGAGCTATCCAGCACAACCAGCGGAAATTACTTGTTCATGGCAGCTTGTAGCACAAAGTTCAGTATGTTTTGTTGTCTAGGGAGGCAGCACTTGAAGATGTACAGTGTGAGCATAACGCAGGCTGCACGTTGATTCTTTCCCACGTGCAGTTACGCAGCATCATTGAGATGCGGTACACGTTTGATTGAAGGCAGACGCTGCCAAGCCAGGCGTCATCACTCGAAGAGCGAAAGCTCAGTGAGCGTGGCCTGTCTTAAGTCAACTGCGCTGGGGTAGGCTCTGTGCAGCGAGACCCAATGGGCAAGACCTGTCAAGAAGCACTGTGGCAGATATTCCGGTTGCCAGGCTGCTTGCTGATAGTGATTTCTATCGTTGACATCATCAGCCCTCAGCTCAAATTCATGTTTGCGAACTTACCTGCAGAAGCTAGGTTGTGTGTTGGTTTGACAATGTCTGTTTGAGCAAAGGCAGCGCCATCATCATGGGCTTTGCTTTCAAGTTTGCTTATCGCGCTGTGGGTGCATCGCTATATTGTGTGGGCATTCAGGCCAGGCCAGCCTTTTTTTGACACAATCTGCTTTAGCATGGACGTTGCTGTCCCATGTGCATGTTGGCCTTGTCAGGCAATCTCCCACATGTTGTCCTCCTTGCTGCTTACCTTTCGCCTCATCGGCGAGCTTGGAGTGTCCATAGCTCACAATTCGCAGTCTTCGAGCCTTCCAGTGTGCAGCATGAGGCCACAGGACGCTGAGGAGACGCTATTGAGGCTCGATCCTCCAAGGTTTGTTGGACGAGCACTCGTAAGAAAACATTGTGTCTGAGTGTCACGGATGTTTGCACGCCTTATTGGCAGCAATCCGTTCAGGGAGAAGAGACGGCGCTTCCTGCTGCGAGAGCAGGGCATCAACGTGGCCCGCGCCTTTGCTTTGGCCGAATCAGTCATTGCATGTCATGCTGTCGCATTCTGGAATCCGAACTCTTAGTTCATGGGGCTTTCCATGCTGGTGAGTGCAGCAGCTCTTGTGTTCAAGGCCAGGTACGTCCCTAATCCTCCCAGGGAAGAAACCGCACTGTGCCTTTGTTTGCCCGTGCAGTTTGGAGGCAGCCCGGAAGATCAGATTCTGGGACAAGCACCGACCCTGGCCCTGGTTTACATTTTCTATGCGCTTTGCCCATGCTCTTCGATTGAAAGCTGCACTGAAGGCAAGGCAGCGCAAGCCTTGTAGCTGAGGTGGTACCAAGACTACGAGAGAAAAGACATGGATGCTGAGGCGCTGCGAGGGTATTGCCTGCCAGAATCCAACCGTCGGTCTTAATGCATTCGTGGTGCGCAGTGGAGTGTTCAACAGCCACATTGCATTGTCATTGCATTTTGAATAGTAGTAAACGAATTATATTATATGTACATAATACATAAATATATATTAACATGCACACATCAGGCTTCTTGCTGCTGAATGGGCCCCCAAATCATGGGCTGTATGCTGTATGCGAGCGTGTGTTTTGTGCTTTGCCATTGAGACGCTAGGCTCAGTGGGCAACCGAGTTTTTGGCGTGGTATGGCTTTGCCTTCTACCTCATCCAGGCAAGACGCGCAGCTTTTGGAGGTTTCGGGATGCAAGAAAGAGAAAACGGCGCGACGACATATTTGAACGTGGACACTGCTGTATGGGTCATGCGGCAGGCAGTGGTGCGCTGCATCATGGGGCGCAAGCTGCGCAGAAGCATAGATCAGAGCTCAGTGATTCTAAGAAGCGCTCCAAAGCGCTGGATGGCCGTCACAAATGCTTTATGTATTTTATGCATGTTTTAGTTTTATGATTGTGCCCAGGTTTGGAACGCGTTTGTGACTTCCGTCATCAGCCTGGTGTTTCTTTTGGCCGCAGCCTCAAAGCAAGACACGTATATATCTAGTATACAGCAGGCTTTGCTCACTAGGTTGTGTGCTTTAATGTTTGCTTTTTGATATTTCAGGCAGATTTGATTTCAGGTCATGGGCATTGCTGCGTCCTTCGAGGGCGAGGGTGTTTGGAAGGCCAGTGGGTATGAAGCCAGACAACGCTGTTCTCCATTTCCAACGAACACTCGCCAAGAGTTGGCCTATGCAATCAACTTTCAGGTCATATCCGGCTCAGTCCGCCGACATTTGAGCCGAAAAACATATCCCGTTGTATGTGTCAATGTAAGGCATGATCCCAGTTGTTTTGGACCTGTCAATTCAGCTGCACCGCCGCTTGTAATTTGAAGGGCAGGAGCGTGTTGCAGGAGCGACCGCGCAAGTCAAACATGGGGCTGCGCAAGTGAAGCGCAAGTGACGCAGCGATGATTCATCATCATCATCATCATCATCATCATCATCATGGCCCAAAGATTAACAAATTTTCGCGCAAGTCCCACGCAAGTCGCGCGCAGCCCGCAGATGCCCCCAAACTGCTTGGAGCAGGAGTGGCCCATTTCTGTATTTTACATGTTCTTTTTTCTGCAGATCCCAGCGATGTCCGAGTGAATTTGCTAGCATAAAATTTGCAGCGGTGTACACACACGAGACCTCATACACTTAAAGGGGCACGCTATTGGGAGACCTCACGCTTATGAAGACCGCCGCTTGGATTTGCAATGAAAACAACTTGGGATAAGACTTTTAGTACTTTTGTTCCAGCTCATTTCATCTCACATTGTGTTTTCCGGCATTTCGCTTTTCGGCAACAGCCAAACATGGATGGGGACCAGTGAGGCATGACAACTAAGCAGGTGTCCACATATTAATAATATTACACGCTTCCGCCCGCCCAAAATCTACACAAACCTGCATTGTTTCACGTTTTGGATCAACATCATGCCCAAAATCAAGCTTGACTGGGGATCAGTGAGGCCTGACTACTAAGCAGGTCTCGAGCCGCAGACCCGAGCTGACAGGCAGCCGGCAGGTAGCCGGCAGGCAGCGGGATTCGAGCCTGCGACGCCTGCCCCCTGCCCCCGAAGATTACTTTTAGTGAAACGTCGCCGGCCCCCCCACCCCCACGCATTGCCGGGGAGGCGAAGCCTCTATCCTCTTATAGTGGCAGGTGTCCGACACGCCGAACATGTCGGCGGATATTGTCATGCCGCAAAGCTGGCCCCGCTCAATTTCCCTCGACGCACGGGGAGGCACAATCAGGTTGCCTTGCAATCGCACAGGCGGAGCCCATTTGCGCCATAGTGCTTGCCTTGGCGGGGCGCTCAATGCTGCCAAGTTTGAGAAGTTTACTGTATCCTTCCGCTTTGAACCAAGCAGGAAAAACACCTAAAGTGCCTTGATACATGCGTTGTTTAGCCTCAATTTGTCAGTCTTTGAACGCACGAGTTAAAATAGGGCGATGGTATTTGACTAGTCAACCAGCCCCCTCTCGCACGCAAATTTGGGTCAGTAGAGTAATCATAAAGCCAGCTCGGTTAATCGGTCGCCTAGTAGCAGTGTCGGAGTGGTTTGAACTCGGTCTAGTTTTGTGTTGTTAGTTTGGCGAAAGCTGGTGGGACGGGGCTAGGCATGTTGCTGTTCGTATGACCAGGACCATGATTGAGCCCGAGTCAACACGGCTACCGGACTGAAGAAGAGTGTGAAGCTTGCAGCTACTCGTGCTGATTCAGGGCCAGAGCAGGAAACCCATTGCAGCCGAATAGTAACTAGTAAGTAGCGACTATTCAGGGAAATTTGGGACGGGCAAGATCAGAATTTCAGCAACCATATTATGCCACCCTTCACTTCTGTTCAACATGTTCAGTTGTGAAACGCTCCCATCCCTGCGTGTCCTGCGATTCCCTCCAAATGCTAAATACTTTGTGGCTTGTGGCCTTTCTGGCTGGGACCCCCATCATGTTGTTGAGCAGATCCAACATCGTGATGGTGGGATGACAAACAGATCAGATGATATGTGTAGATGTCGACTGCTACACAGCGTGCTGGTAGTCAACTCGTGACAAGCCTGAGGTCACTGTGGTCGAGGGCATGCGTATCACAGTCGCCAACATGGATGCCCCTCTCCCAGTGCATGGAAAAGAGGTCTTGCGTCAAACGTCCCGCCCAGGACATGAACACCCGAATGCGCTTTGATTCCAGGGCCTAGTTGCAGGACACGCTATCAGTTGGCCTGCTGTTGCCAGCATGTCATGCAATGGTCAGGAGTTTGCAGTCAACGAGTGCCGGGGCTTCATTGCTTCAGCACGCCCATCTCCTGGTAGGACATGTGACTAATTTGGCATTGGACCCATGTTGGGCTCGAACAAGCCTTGCATGCCTTGCATGCCTTGCATTGAGCCATGCAGCAAATGTTGCATGCCCTTCGAGCAGCGCAGCGCAGCAGCTCGTGTTGGGAAAAATGTGGTTTGCTTCACAGAGTGACGCGGAGTGACGAGTACAATTGTTTGCATTAGTTTGCATTGGCATTGCTCTGATCACATGGCCCATGCAAAATTGCAACTATTCGCAGGCATTATTCCACGCGCGGCTCATAGGCCAGCAAGCCAGGAAGCAATCATCGCGCTTTGCTTGTTTGCCGCAGGGCCACAGAATGAAGTGCTCAACTGGGAGGCCGCTTCATTTTCGACCCTGCTTTCTTTGCAAACACGCAAACCTTGTCTGATCTCCATGGTCTAAAGATTTGAAAGGAGTATGGTTAGCTGCGGGGGGAGGGAAGCATGTGTCATTTGATGTTATTTGTCAGTGGCATACATGCGCATGGCTGCTGTGAAAGGCAACGTGCAGACGGTGCGAGAGGGTAAGTCTGGCAAGGAAGACAGACAAGCAGGCGCCACAGTGATTTACAACAGATCCACCGTGCTTGATGAATGTTGTCATTTGCAGGCCCCACAAGTGCCGTATCCCGTGTTCATTCCAACTTGCGGCCGCCCTGAAAAGGCACGCAGCGAATGTTCAGATGAGATTGACAATTGGTATTGACAGACATAGTTCTCAGCGACACTAAGGCATCTAGCAAGTTACGTATATGACGTTTGAGAGCAGTGGCTTCCTTCAGGCACACCTAAATTGGCAAGCGGCGCACGTTTTCGGATGTCAGCAGGACAGACCAAGTGCAAATCACGCCACAAAGGCTTCAGACTCTTTGCAGTATAGATAGGAGACGGCGCTGGGTCTTCAGCCTGTGGTGTGCATGGTGGTCGAACCTGAAGAAGAGGTGCCCTGGCCCACAGATCGATCAGTCGCGTCCATTGCGTGAGTGCACGGTTCAACAAGATGTGTGCCTTGAATTCTATGGCATCGGCTTGCCTGGACAAACTATAGCTATTTCCCGCAGGAGCGCTATAGGGCGTTCTGGCCATCCTCCCTTATGCTGATTCTTCCAGAGAGCCTGGCTCCTAGCGACGGCTACCTGCACTTTGCTCGCCCTGCCTAGCAGGCAACCGTGGCCCAGGCTACGCCAGATGGGTGCGGCTCTTACATGGGATCTCCACCCCTTGTTAGTCTGTCTTCTGCCACTCTTTCCCCGCCCGTCGCCATTGGCATGGCCTGCAATGATGCTACAGCATTCGGTTATTCTACCTTAAGATCGAGGGAGCGCACTTGGGCACTATCCAACGTCCCCTGAAACAGAGGATTACTCTCTTTGCAGGCAATAGTGCAAGTGGCTCACGGACAAAACACGAGCCCTGATGTCTCCGAGGTAGTGCAGCGAGTGTGTACAAGATCTTACGTTGTGGGAGCACACACTATGCTTCGCATCACATTGCAGGCATATCCCAAGCCACAGCTTTTTGCAACGGGTAAACTCCAGGAGATTCAAATTGTGGTGACAGACATGAAGACAACCTTCGCCGGCTGTACAGGCTTGGCACAAGCTGAAAACTCGGCATGAAGCGATCATCCCGTTGCCAATCGCTGCAGAATCTGGATTGCCGACGACACCCTGACGATGTTTTATAGGCAGACGTGCCTTTGCGGGCCCGCTTTCATGCCCAGCACAGAGAGGCTTGCACGTGCCAGCCGGTAGCAGATTGGCAAATTGTTGCAGGCTCGCCTTGATGGACAAGTACGTTGGTTGTGGTCGGTTGCAAAGGCAAGTCAGCAGAGATGGAGAGACGACGGCGAGCCAGAGCAGTAAGGCCCAAGAGGATGAAGCACCGAGTCGCCAGCAAAGGGCAGATGTTTTTGGAGGCGTGCTAACCCTACACGCGCTTGCCGGCCATGATGCCATGATTTGTGCGGATCAGGCTTTGTTGGCCATTCAGCGGCATCCATTCAGCACGAGGCGAGCACGTACGAGCATGAGATGGTGTGAGATGGTCATTGCCAGTTTTGGCTTGTGCTGACACCATGGCAACCATGCATATTTTTGGTGATGGCCGTTCGGATATGTGCGAACCAATCATGCATAGCTTGTATACCAAGCTCAGCGTCTAGACAGCCTGAGTGACATCTTCAGAACAGCTGTCAGTGTCACATTGGTGCCAGTGACACTGTGCCATTGTAGCAATAAACATTTTTGGAATGGGAGACAACTCTGAACTATAGCGGGAAAAAACAACGTGCGCTGACGTGCAGGGCCGCTGTTGCTGGATTTCTGCGAGATGACGGCACGGCTGTTTGCAAGCGCCAGATGCCCAGACCCTTACTTACCATGTTGAGCTGAGCAGAAGGAGCTTGTAGTGAATCCTTGTCTGCCAGAGTTACCTTGGTGGCAGGTAATGATTGGAAGCTCGATGAGATGGCTTTGTACAAGGTTGTCAGAGAATGAGAAATTGAGGGAGTTTCAGCAAGCACGCTTGCAAGTGATTGATAGTTGCCTCGGCCGGCAGATTGTTCTCCTGGACTTGCCTGAGCTTTGGCGTCTTGGCATCGAATACATGCCGCAGCTGCGGATGTATGAGGACATGCTTAAGCACTTGTCACATTGTGGCTTGCTTTGCCTTATTGCTCGGACAAGGGACAATGGTGAGGACATTTGCTTGAACCATGACGTGCTGAGCAAGGGCGGTCGCACGCTGAAGTGCCAGGGCCTAGGTTTGAAAGAACAGGGACCAACAAGCATGTCCAAGCTGTAGGTCAATGCTATGGCTTCCGGGCTGTCCATGCAAAGAAGGCCAGCTATCTAGTTGTGGCCACTGGGATACATTGTCAATTGTAGCCCGGAGGAACACTTTCGGACACTGACTCAAGCAGGCGAACATGATTTAAACCGTTTGAGACTCCAATACGTTCTGGTATGCGCTCTCAATGCTGCTGCATACACCTCTCTCTCCACATAGGGATATTCACGAAAGATGTAGTATCGAGTCATTTAACTATTTAAAGAGTTACCAGCATTTTCACCGGTCGTCACAGTGAGTTTGGACACCTTTTGGGAATCCTTCTAACCCCTGATCGTGTTATCCCAAGAATGGCAGATGAGCTTCATTGCTGAATTCAAGAACCAAACAAGTTTTGCAAACGCTGGATGTTTGACCAGACTGCTCAACACCTGTTTCTATTTGCAGCCGCTTGCTGCCAGGGCGGCTGCCTGGAGCAACGCCACGGTCGCTCTTCGGCTGAATGTAGAAGGCTTTCGCAGCCATTGGTACATCTCTCGCATCGTGCCAAAGTCGTGCAATGAGGCAGTGCTTGTTGTACATGCATGACTCCAAACATATTAAATGTACTATATACGTATACATATCCACACATGACATGCGTTTCATTATGCTGAACTCATCCCATACTGCTCTTGCCGCCACCGTCTTTGGCGGGCGTTGATGCATTTTGCGAGGGCACCAGTCAAGAGTTGGTTCCAAGGCCACAAGTCGGGGCAGACGAGGCTCAAGGACCTGGCAGCCTGCTTACGGGTCCTGAGATGTCCTGAGTGCTTCTGAATTACATGTCTCACTCGACGGTCATAACTTCCTCTCCTTGTTAGACACCAGTCTCCAAGCCTCACAGAGTGAAGATGCAGAAGGCATGCCAACACACCCGGACAAACCACAGCTGAGGTCAAGAAGTCGGAGTTCGGAAGCGTGGCCAAAGACAGGCAGAAGGCACGCCGTCACACAAAGACATGGGCGGCTACCGCCAACCAATTCTATTTTCATGGATTTGACGCGGCTTCCTGCTTGCTGATTCGGGAGGAACAAGTTGACAGGTTGTGTGCAGATTGTGCAGGCAGTTCGCGAGCTGCTTCAATGGGTGGGGAGCCTACTTGAACAGATATTAAGTGCCCACAGGCACCAGCATCGGTATGATCGCCAAGCTGCTCAAAGCGCCAGCAAGTGCGTTTTCAAGTTGAGATGGACAACATATGACAAGCAGATCTCAACGGAGCACTTGGCTAAAGGTAAGAGACAAGGAGGTCCTCTTTCAAAAGAGGACAACTCAGGCTGGGTGTCATGTCATGCTGCAAGTTTGAAGTGAACCTCAAGATAGCGGTAGCGACAACTAGTGGCGTCATGACTTTGCGGATGTGGTAATGACTAATACATGCTGCTGCCATCAGTGATGGAGGAGAAGCCCGCCATGGACACTCCCAACTCCGCGGACAGGACTTTCCGGCAGATAGTCTTTTCAATATGTTTGGTGCTGGATACTGCATGCGCCTGCAGGAAAGAGCAACCCAGCGAGGAATTGCCTAGTGCCTTGGACGATTTGGAGCCTTCGCTTCCCTGTGTTGTTCCCGTTGTGTGTGACTCGGAATCCCCGGCATGGCGTTCTGCATTGAAGAAGAACGGTGTTCTTTACCCTACTATACTTTACAGCCTCCGGCTCAGTCCGCCGACATTGTCCTCTCCCTTTTTTCCTTCTGCCTCTCCCCCTTGTCTCCCTTGTGTGTTCTGTCGTCCTCTCTCCCTCCCTCTGCTCCCCATCCTCCCCATCCCCCCAAGCCTCTCTATGCCCAATCTCCCTCTCTGGTATGTATGTATGCATATATATATATATGTGTGTATGTATGTATGTATGTATGTATGTATGTATGTATGTATGTATGTATGTATGTCTGTATGTATGTATGTATGTATGTATGTATGTATGTATGTATGTATGTATGTATGTATGTATGTATGTATGTATGTATGTAATGTGTAATGTATAACGTAATGTAATGTATGTATGTAATGTAATGTATGTATGTATGTATGTATGTATGTATGTATGTATGTATGTATGTATGTATGTATGTATGTATGTATGTATGTATGTATGTATGTATGTATGTATGTATGTATGTATGTATGTATGTATGTATGTATGTATGTATGTATGTATGTATGTATGTATGTATGTATGTATGTATGTATGTATGTATGTATGTATGTATGTATGTATGTATGTATGTATGTATGTATGTATGTATGTATGTATGTATGTATGTATGTATGTATGTATATGTATATGTAATGTATGTATGTATGTATGTATGTATGTATGTAATGTATGTATGTATGTATGTATGTATGTATGTATGTATGTATGTATGTATGTATGTATGTATGTATGTATGTATGTATGTATGTATGTATGTATGTATGTATGTATGTATGTATGTATGTATGTATGTATGTAATGTATGTAAGGAATGTAATGAATGTAATGTATGAAATGAATGCAATGGATGAATGTATGAAAGACGTCCAAAAACATGGAGTTTGTCCAGATTTTTGGCAAAAGGATGTAGGAAGCCCAAGCCAGCAAAAAAGCCGGCAGGGGGAATCGAGCCTGGGACCCCTGTTTTGCGACACCGGCTCCCCGAAGACTACGTTTAGTGGAACGTCATCAAATTGCCGCGCGGTACGCGGGGGAGGGGGGGGGGGGGGTGGCGACCGAAAAACCATGCGTATTTGACGTGTCCCGGGGGGGGACTAAGGGGGGGGTTATCCTCTATCCTCTCTCAGGTATCCAATAGTCCTCTCTTGGGTATCCGACACGCCGAGCAATGTCGGCGGATATAGGGCGGGTCATGACAGCTTACACTGCTTCAGCGCAGTATAGTTGCGGGCAATCGCAGCAAGCCCAGGAGAGCAAAGTAGCCTTGGTGCAGGACCTTTCGAGGTGACTGACTTCAGAACTTCGTGCATCAAGTTGACGTACAAAGCAGAGCAATCAAGTCGCTAATGTGCAAGCCGGTCATTGCGAAAAGATGCAGGCCTTTGAAGTGAGCAGTGCAGAGAGCGAAGATGAGGCGAGCAATCAGTCCGGTTTTGCAAGGAAACCTTGAATGAGTGACGTGTAGTGCTGTAGTTTGTGGCACTTGAATGCAGGTAGTGCGGAGCTTGCACTCATCACCGGAGGCCAGCATCGCTGTGAAGAATATGAATAGTATAGAGAACTTGCTAAAGGTCCGCTAAGATTCGTAGGTCTTGCGCTTTGGAGGTGCCCGCGCAGCCTATGACATGGGGGGATGTGTGACCCATGTGCAGGATCTTGAAATGATCACACACGCGCACAACAAGCCTATATCTTGGGGCTCTCAAAAGGGTCTGCGGCTCATTGCTCGGATAGCATTTGGACTGTTTGCTATTTGAGACGCGATTCTCGTGGCCTGACCTTCCTGAATGAACGGAGGTTGAACCATGAGACCAAATGAAAGAGGCATGGCTTGTAGTGCCATCATAATTTGTCATGATGACCAGAGACATGCGGCCACGATCCTTGAAAGGCGCTATGCGCTTTGGTTCATGTTGGCTTTGGGACGTTTGCCTTTAATTGACTTGCACGGCCTGTTTGTACAAATGTTGCAGCAATTCGCTTACTTGCTTAAGCAATATGTTTGGTGCAGTACGGGTTGCTTGAGGCTGAGAAGATTGATTCAGGCTGAGAAGATGTTGACACAATTAACTCTTGTGTATTTGTCATGACCATCAGACACAGAACAATGCAAACATACGTTTCCGCCTTAGCCTCGGCAACTCCCAGCTGCAATTTAAATCTATTTGAACTCACCGGGTTGTGAGCTCAAAAAGAGAGAGAGAGAGAGAGAGAGAAGGAGAGAGTTCTGTGTGTGTGTGTGTTGTTCTGTATGTGTGGGTTTTTCTTTGTGAGTTGTTTTTTTCTCCGAATTTCTATGTCTCAGAAGACAGTTGTGCGCACATTGAGCCTGGATGTCTCCTGCGTAGTCTTGGCTCACAGTTTTGTTTTCAGTCTGCAGGCCGCGGCCAGAAGCTTGGTACAGGCAGTGCTTTGCAATGGACCGATCCTTGTGTCACATGCCCAATGATGTCGCATGACCGAGGCATCGGCAACAAGCATGGCTGTGCAGAGTAGGCAAGATTGACACAATGGAAGTTCTGTGAGCAACATGTGAAGTCTCAGTCAGCGGCACAGAAGAGTTGACACAAGTCTGGCTTTGAAAGTCCTTTGGTGCAATGCATTCATTGGTTTGCAGGGCACTGGCAGCGGTACTCCTAGGCTGGGATCCAAATGTTGCTGAGCGAATAGCGTTGCCTTTGTGGTTTGGAGGTGCGGTGGCCCTGTGGGGTCGCCAAGCCTTTGTGGCCATGGAGAAAGCCACGGCCGGGATGAGCAGTGACACATTGGAGCATGGACTGTACGTAGAGCGCTGGCTGTTGGGAGGCTTGAAGAGTACTTAACTCCATTCCTGACTGATGATTGCTTCAAGTTCGAAACAACAAACGGAAGTGCCTCGCTGAGTTTAGATTCTTGACCCTGTAGTCTTGGCTGGCATCATCAATGCCCGCCATTGGCACTCTTGGATTCACAGCCGATGCAGAAAGCGACATCCAGTGCTTCTTGCCCACTTTACCACGGCCTTATTCACGGGATAAGCAAGATGCCGCGCAGGTGGCTGTCGCGCCGAGCCTCCGCTCATCTGCCTCCTCCTCTGCGCCTGAGTGTGGGGCTTTGGACAGGGGAGGTTTGGCTGCGTTGCGGGGGAACATCTTGTTGATTTTAAGCCACTGCCAACTGCAATGAGGGGGTAGCAGTTCAATGCCTGCGCATTTCGATGGTGAAGGGAGGTTGGAACATGCTCAGGCATGCGAATTGTGTCGCGAGAAAGCTTGAAGCTACGCACCGCCCAAGGCAGACAAACACCGGCTTTGCCTCAGCTGCAGCAGTTGATTTGCGCTCAGTCTAAGATGAATTGTGCAGATTGAATTGATGACCGATGTCAGAGAAACCAAAGGGCAAAGTTGTGAAGCTAGCAGCTACTTCCTTCAACCTCTTCGCTGTCAAAGGCCGGCGTGTGCATGGTTGCAGCTGCTGGGTATGCCTCTCAGGAATACGGCAGCACATATTGGGGAATAATCTTGAGTGCCAAGACCCAATTCGATCCCTGATGTTTTGACGTCGAATCTCATGTTGGGCGCATTGGACTTCGATCGTGCTCCAGGCTGCGGGCCCAGAGGCGCATCTCCGGTGTCCCGCGGCAGTTCTTTGGTGGAGGACGAGATCCCTCCCCCGAAGATGTGACGACCAAGGCTTGCCTTGGCTGCAATGAGAGCCGGAATCCCATTGATGGCTATTCATGATGATAAGTTTGGCCATTTGATCAATCTGATTCCCCTGTCGACTGATTGAGCGGCAGAGAAACAACATACTTTAGAGCCTCCGGCTCAGTCCGCCGACATTGACCTGTTCGACGCAGAAAGTTCGTGGACCATGAAAAGTTGGTTCCCTGCTTTTCAGGTATTGCCACAACAGTTACGTGGCACGAAGGGCATGCATGGGTCAGCCTTGGCGTACGATCGGAGCACCTGTGGCCACGGCCCGGGGTATAGCTTGCGTCCGCGGCCACAGCCCGGAGCCGGCCACGGCCGGGACCAACAGGACGAGCGCGCCAAACAAATCTTGCAGCAGCGGGCACGGCCAAGCGCGCCAGGCATAGCTGCTCGGGAGGCACGCACAGCGGGCTTCGTGTCTGTGGCCACGGCCCGGACCGAAGCGCGCCAAGGGATTCTTGCATCTGCGGCCACGGCCCGGAGCAAGCGCGCCAGGTTCCGTAGCTGCTCGGGAGGCACGCGGCGCGGGTTTCGTGTCTGTGGCCACGGCCCGGACCGAAGCAGGACGTAAGGGATTCTTGCGTCCGCGGCCACGGCCCGGAGCAAGCGCGCAAGGCTCCGTAGCTGCTCGGGAGGCACGCGGCGCGGGTTGTGTGTCTGTGGCCACGGCCCGGACCGAAGCAGGACGTGCGCGCCAAGGGATCCTTGCGTCCGCGGCCACGGCCCGGAGCAAGCGCGCAAGGCTCCGTAGCTGCTCCGGAGGCACGCAGAGCGGGTTTCGTGTCCGTGGCCACGGCCCGGACCGAAGCAGGACGTGCGCGCCAAGTGTTTCTTGCATCTGCGGCCATGTTCACGGCGTCGGCGCCGGGTGTGCGATGCGCCAAGTTAGTCGCGCGGCTCGCGCGAGCGGCCGCACGGGTCGATCCGTGCAGGTATGTCAGTCTGGACAAGGGGGGCTTGCGCTTGCTCTTCGCTCCAACGCGTCGAGGCTGCAGCGAAGGAGAAAAAGCTCCGAACAGGACCTTGCAAGGAGAGACAGGACAGCCGCCGCGCACAAGTCAGGGCTGTCTGGGATGACCTGCTAGCGAAAATCAGAGACATGTGCAACAGCTTGGAGTCAGCGAGGAGGAGTTGGACTGTGCTGACCAAGGGCTCAGCAGGAGCGCTCACGCGATCTGAAGCTGCGTCGCACTGCGTCTGTCCAGAGTCCATTCCATCGTTCGCGGACCTTGAGGCAGCCTGGGCTCGTGTGGAGAGCCGCCTGGACACGGCGCCAAGGGGCAGCGCGGATGCAAGCTGGGCTGCTTGTGTACAGTTGCGACGTGCCGTTTTTTTTCCTGTTTTTTTTTAGCCTTGTAGCAAGCCGGTGCAGTCTCTGAACTTGCAGGTTGACGCTTGCTCGGCAGAAAGTGGGGAGGTAGGGTGGGGGCGGCAAGAGCAGAATGCGAGGAGGGTAGCTGTTGTTGAAACATGTCTGACAAGGAATTTGCATCCGGGGCACGTTAGCTCAAGCCCGGCGGCGTGAGGAAGGGTGCAGCCCCTTCAAAGATGTCCCTGGGATGGAACATGGACGCGGACGTGCTGGCAGAGCTACACGCGCTAGGGCTCGAGGTTGGGGAAGGGTCCTCGCACGGGGAGAACAATTGCCTTGTGGACAGCATGCTGCAATGTCTAGCTGCAGCTGATGTGCTTCCAGAAGAAGTACTGCTTTGCGCGGAGACGCGGCAAGCAATGTGTGCGGCGGCACGAGCGAGACTGGTGGCGCAGGCGGACGTCAGGCTGCGCCCACAGCGGCTGGATGCGTGCGGCGTGCGGGACAGTGGCGCGACTGCAGCGGAGCACGAGTGTGCGTACCTGCAGCATCATCTGCACGCAGAGCCCGTGCTGCGGAGCATCATGGCGGACTGTGGCAAGGTGGAGTGGCCGGACATAGAGCTCACGGTGTATGCAGCGGGGGACGCCGTACACCGGTGCCCAGACCGAGTCCTGTTGGCAGGTGCTGGACAGCCTGCAGAGAAGCTCCGGCTAAGTTTGTTCAGTCGCACGGATGCAGACGGCAACGGGTGGCACTATGACCCGCTCTTTGAAGGCAGAGTCAGTGCAGAGCTGGATGTCGCGGAGGAGGCGGCCCCTACGTTCGAGCACAAAGAAGCTGCAGGAGGCGAAGCAGGAGAGGACGAGGCGGTCGTCAGCCTGGCACTCATGGGCGTGCGCAGGGACAGTGGAGACCAAAGGCAGGCGCTGGAGGAAGCTGTGGAGCACACCGTCGCTGGGAGGATGATCTCCATGTCGGAATTTGCGGGCAGGCACCGCGGGCGCATCGTTTGCGCGTTTCGCGGGTGTGAGTGCACATGTGCCACGGCGGACGTGCTGGATGCGCACCTGCGGGAAGTGCATGCGGGCGACTTGGCGGCGGCTGTTGCGGCTCGGTCGCGCTTGAAGGGGGTCAGCAGCGAGGCGCACCTGGCGGTGTACCGGCTGTGCCTGCAGGAGCTGGCGCGCAGGTCGCCCCCACAGGCGAGCGCAAGCCAGGATCGCGCCTGCTTGCGCAGCTACTGCGATCAAGTGCGCACGGCCCGGACGCTCATGTGCTTTGTGTGCGCGTGCCGATTTGCGGGCGTGGAAGAGGAGGCGGATCAGGACATCCAGCGGTACCGCGCGGCGGACATGCGCGGTTTGCTGGAACTGCTCTCGTTCACGACGTACATGGAGAAGTATGGCAATCTTTGGCCGAGCGGGCCGGACTTGCGCGGCAACGAGGCTGCTTTCCGTGAGTGGCTCAGAGGGTTCGAGGGCACGCTTCTGTTGTGCTGTCCGGAGGATGTAGATTGCGCAGCGCACGATGTGCGGATGGGTGCGGGAGAGCTCTGCCCGGCGTGCAGCATCCCGATTTGCTCTGTGTGTGTCCAAGACTGGCGCGCGTCGAGGGGCTCGCTTCCAGCTGCAGCGTTGTCCAACGACCTGTGGACGGGGTACTTGCCTGTGGAGATCTACACCCAGGCGGCCACGGTGTGCGAACTGATTGCGGCCTCGCCGTGCCTCACCGGCATGTTTTGTTTCTCCCTAGAGTACCACCGTGCAAGCAGCGTCTACGACGCAACGGCGTACATGCCTCGCCACCGGCTCGGGGCGCGCGGCAATGTGACGTCGTATCCACTGCCCTGGCTCGACCTCTTAGCGCAGCTCGGGAGCATGGAAGCTGGCAACAGTGTAGCGCTGCCGAGGACTGGCGTGGAGCTCGCGGAGACGGTGCAAGTCTTACTGCGGACAGGTGGTGGGCTAGGGGAGGCGGACGCAGGGAGATTCTTGCATCAGGCACGGGTTCGGCGGGCCGTTGTGCTGGCCTTGATCCGTGGAGCTGTGGCGCGGAAGCACACTGCGTATGCAAACGTGGACTTGGAAGCGGCCATGACTCGGGCTGCAGGTCTGCCGGAGGATGGGGTGCCTCCAGAAATCGTGCGGCTGCTGGACCCGGATCGGAACATCAGTCGCCTGCGTCCGCAGAAAGCGGCAACGCCCGCCGATGGGTGTCACCTGGAAGCGGAAGACGCGGCGCGGCAGCTGGCAGATGTGCGCCCCCACGCAGTGTTGCTTGAAAACAGCAGCGCGTTGGAGGAGGATGCCGTCGCGCAGGACATTGCGGCCTGGCGACATTTTGACACGCAGCTTCGATGGGGGACAGAGCCGCCCGCTGCAGCGGTGACTATAACCGCGGGGTCACAGCTGGTCGATCAGTTCAAGCCGCTGTATTTCGGTGTCGCGTTTGCGTTTTGCTTCAGTTACTGCATAGGCTTGCCCGACTTGGTGCATCACGGTACAACGACGCGGTACAGGCGGGAAGCGTCGGCGCCAATCATCGACTTCCCGCGCTGGGCTCGCGCTGTGAGTCGACGCGCAGAAAGCCAATTTGCGCGCGACTGGCTGCTACTGTTTGCGCTGTGGAACTACAGTTTTCGCGTGCAAGTGAACTCGAGCCGTGGACTGGTTGCGTACGTGCCTCGTGGGCTGCCCAGTCTCACAAGTGAGGAGCTGACAGAGGGCGCCGTCGCACTGTGCAAGGCCTTGCATGGTCAGTACCGTGCAGGGCCGGACGCGCCGTTGCAGCCGGTCGCTGGGGACGTATCGAAGCTGCACATGGTGCCGGAGCTACCTCGCGCCGCGCGCATTCTGCTGCAAAACGTGCAGCACGTATCAGCGAAGATTCCAGGCACCGTCGAGGTGAGGAAGCTCATGCGACACGAGACGCACGCGTACCGGATCATTTACGGGGAGCCAATCTTCGTAACAATCAGTCCGAACGAGCGGGACAACTTGCTGAGTGTGCGACTGTTTCGTTGTCGAAAGAGCGACCCTGTCGTGGAAGCGGACGAGGACGCGCGGCAGTGGGGCGGAGAACGCCAGCCCGTGCTGGGCACAGCTGTGACAGAGGCAACGGCAGGCTTGCTCCCTGCCTTTGAAGCACGGCGTCACCTGGCGGCGGCGGACCCGCTGTCAGTGGTGGAGGCCTTTCACTTGCAACTGCGGCTGTGTCTGCGACACTTGTTTGGCATCAACATCTGCAAGAACTGCCCGCGATGCAACTGCATGTCCGAAGACGGCAGCGTCGCATCCTTGCGCCTTGGAATTTTTGGGCGAGTGACAGCGGTGTATGCGGCGCTGGAACACCAGAAAGCCGGCGGCTTGCACGCGCACATGCAAGTCTTCGTGGAGAATCTTCACCAAGTCACGCCCTTGCACGAAATCTGGAACCGGCTGGAGAAGGAAGCCAGCGCGCCGATGGTGCAGCGATATCTGGCGTTCAAGGCACACGTGTGCAAAGAAACCTACGACGACCTGGCCACGCAGCAGCAGCGTGCGCACGAGGTCGAGGCAGCATGGCCTGAGCATGCCCGCAACCCGGCACTCGTGTCCATGCCGACGTATCTGCTGGATGGCGACGCGAGCGACGCGTCTTGGGCTGAAGCGTTCCGGGCCGACGT